AAATAATGCTACCTTCAAATTCCCAAAGGATATGAGAATGTGCTTAAGCTTTAAAATGCGCAGATTCCTCTGAAATTTGAAGGAAATTTCTTTCCTTTGGTCTTGTGCTGGACTGGACCACAGAACAACCAAAAGTATTTTGAGTACAGAAAGGACACACTCAAACCGAGTCTGTGCAGCTTGTTTCACTGCTTACATGGCCTTTTATGTAGCAACATTTTAAAACACTTGCATAACACAAGGCTATTTTTGAAAAAAGGAGAAAACTATGATTTTTAGACAATTTAAATGATTAAATGGACAGAAATCCCCTTAAACTTACGACTGTGGACTGCAAGCAAATGTCAAGACAATCACACAAATGAGATGACTGAAACTGCTTAGAAATTTGGGATATTAAATCCTTCCAATATTCCTGTGGAACGGGTAAACATTGTTTTTATTAGGGTTCTTATTTTGCAGAAAGAAGGAAAATTAACACATCCCAGTATGCAGAGGATTAGATTAACTGGTACATGCTGTCTCACAGTTCAAAATGTAGAAACATGATGAAATGATACAAATCTTTATATCTTCAAAGTCATTTCAGCTGTTATTTCTATCAGTTAAACTGATTCCCTCTTTTTCTAGATTTCTCACACTGATATTTATTGCAGCTTTTATTACATCTTTGAGACTAAGTTCAACTACAGCAACATAGCATCAGTATGTACACTGGCTTGCAGCCATGCCACCTTCATCCAGTTACAGATAAAATCCATTTCAGAAGGACTGAAGTGAGTCAGTAGGAAGGAAGATGGCAGCTTCCTTAAGGGAAATATGATGCTAAGAAAAAAGATAAGTTCATTCAATAGGTGGAATTCTCCAAAGGAAATTTCTATTCAAATGTAAACCCAGTGCCTGATTTTGTTCTGAAACTTTCAAAGCACATGTCAACATAAAGGCATTAAAATCCTATTGTCTTTATCCATGAGTAAGCAATTTTAATCTGATGTCCCTGACATCCAACTCAAAACTCCTCTATATTTTCCAGTTGTTTTTTCCTGCTCTTTTAAATTAGCTAGAGGAAAACTTTCTCCCTTCTGGATTATTAAGCAGTCTACACAGCAGTCTTTATTCACCCAAAAGATTTTCATTTCAACAGTGGCAGACTAATCCCTGGGACTACAGTTTACCTCCCGAATAGCTGAGAGGCTTTGTCTGTGCTTGCAAAACATCTGAGGTCCTCTGAAGAAAGGTTACTGTAGGTTACAAGGCTACTATAAATCTTGGAATATCCTGAGTCAATTCTTGCCCCCAAGTTGGCATCTCTTCCTATCAGCAACCCCGTGGGCTTCATGAGCTAAGAAGCAGATTTACTCCTTTGTTCCACCTAACACTACCACCATCTGTTTAAATAGCTTAAGTTCACAATTGTTCTGAGCGGGTTTATAGCTTCCATAGCCACTGTAAGAAGGGTTCTTTGTTCTCTGGATGGTTTAACTGGAGAGGGCTTGAGGCTGCTCAAGGATCATGGCCAAATCAACAGAGAGGTAAAGAAGAGAATTTCTTTTCAGTGCTTTTTGAAATGTTAATGGCAGTGCTGCTTACTTCCTATCTTCGCCTGCCCCCTAGTGAGCTTTGATTTTCACTCCACCTGAGCAGTGGTGGCTGCTTTGTAACTCACGCGCATACAGATGTTCTGAAACACCAAGTTTTTCTTTCTACATTCTTCAGAAGAATTCTCGTTATGCTTTCTCAATAAGCATGTCAGGAGGTAAATAGCATTCTCCAGCCCGACAGGGTTAAAATGCAGAAAGATACTTTTACTTAACAGGGAAACACTCTTCAAATTGGCATAAGATGTAAACACTTAAAATATGTCCAAGAAAATTTATGCTCGCTAATTTATATTTCTTCTTTATATTATTTTTTCTTCTAGAGCTCTGAAGGCTCATGAATCATCCTTCAATTTTTATTTTTTTTTAGGGGGAGGGGGTGTGAAGATTGTTGTGTTTGCTCCCTACAGATCATCTCAAATACAACGCCAAAGCAAATCCACTACTATAATCTAGGAGAGAAAAGAGATCCAGTTAGACCTGAAAAAACAAAACAAATCAAAACAACCTAATTTACTAGCTGGTGCACTTATGGGAGGCCCCTTCATTAAACACAGGCCAGTCCAGCAAACATTACTGTGTTTTATTTAGTAAGTATGCTTACCACTAAATGATTTCAGAATCAGGCTCTTGGATAGTAGCAGTTAAGAGAAGAAACAGGCAGCACTTACTGCACAAACTCTGCCTGCCTTCACATCTAAATCCAACTTCTCTCATGTCCTTCCTAAGACAATTTTTGCCCAGCGCTACTCCCAAAAAGTAGCCGTGTAAGGTGAAGTTCCAAAGGAACAAGATACCTTTGCAGCAGCAATGCTTCTAAAATAAAACAATAATCACAACAGAATTCTTTGCTACTACGGAGCCTAGCAATGAACGTGTCAGAAGCTGGAAATCGAACTGCAAACAGGAGAGGAACAAGAATGCAGAAATATATTATCAAAAGCCGTTTCAAAATTAAATGAATACTTTGCCTCAAAATAAGAAGGCTAAGCAGGGTAGGAGGGTTACAGTTTTATGGAGATAGAGCTTGTCACATGTTAATCAGCTGAACACAAGAGCTTAACAGCAAGTTTACCAGACCAGATGATGCTAACTTAAAACCATAAAAAAAAAAAAAAACCACAACCAAAAAATATCCGAAATACCACAGTGTGTATTTACTAAAAGTATGTCATACCACAGCAACTTTGTGTATTTCCTGATGGCACTGTATAAACAAAAGGAAATGAAGCCCAAGAAGAGGAGATGAAGATGACTTCCCAAAGTCAAGGGAGTAAAAATCAAACCTTGTAAAAGAGAAGCGAGGGAGCTTTGCTTATTTGCTTGTTCCATGTTCACATGCACATAAATCAGCTAAGAAAAGGAGTGAAGACCACAATCACTGTAAGTGAAAAATTAACATCCTAACACCAGGCCATATTCAAACTATACAGTCTTTAAACTTCAAATACAAGTCTGTAGTAGCTTTACTGTAGAGAATGGGATGGACTATGTTCAACAACATCAAAACGTTAGGAGGACTTATTTTATAACCCTATAACCTTGCAATCCTAGATTCTACAGGATGCTTCCCCTGCTAAAATAAAATTGTTACAATCTAGAAGCTGTTTTCCAGTCGCACGATCTAATTCAACAGTAACAATGACCACACTAATTGCATCAAGAATAATTTTACCTCTAGACAATGTATTAAGTAAAGCCCTTCTGGTTCCTGAATGAAGTGGGCAACATAACTTCAAGGCTGTAATTGAGGACTCACACGTGGGAAATGCATGACAGAGAAAGACAATTGAAATTTACTAGGAGTGTAATGCACAGACCTTCAGAGCAAACCTGCACTGTGAAGCTTAAGTTGCCCTTCACCCCTCCAAATGTGAATGCAATGGATACTGAAGCTTAAGGCAAAGTAGGAGAGAAGGTGGCTGCACAAGCAGAGAGAGACAGAACTGGCTATACCCGTTTTACTGCAAAGGGAATCCCCAGCTGACTGTTAAGCCAAGTTCCCATTTGGAAACAGCACATCAATTGCCTCTGATAGCAATATGGATAAAAAGGCAAGAGGAGAGAGAACTCTCACACTAGACAAAGAAGCATTCATTCTGACTGTACGTAAACCTTGGCTCAGTTGAGTGAAAGATTTTAATGAATGACTATTATTTTCTTTGAGGACTCACACTACAACCATGATTAAAGGTTTTTGAGATTGGGAGCTTTAAGGTTTTACCTTTTTTTTCCTCTTTCTCCCCAGTGAAGACATTATCATAAATCTAACGAGAGAAACAGGAGGTATTCAAAGACAATATTGGTCTTTGAAAAGTAGCTTTGCACTGCATCTGCTACTGTGAAATAGCAATGACAAGACTGTTAGAAGAGATGAGAGATTTAAGGTACTCCTCTTGGTACATGCCCAAATTGAAGCACCCTTGAAGAGCCTGTTTCTCAGCAGGGAAACAAACAGCATCTTAAAAAATCGCATCCTTTAACAAGTGTCTCAAGCTCTGCACTCAGAATTATTAGCATTTTTAAAGTCTTGCCCTGAACATTAAATAAAACACACACAAAGAGGTTGTATTAGAAAGAAAGTTCATTTTATTCACCCTAAGAGGTCTTCTACATCTTGTTCAGCAATATTGAAGTTTTTACAAAGTAGTAAGATAAGGAGCATTGGAATGTAATTAGTCTTGGGTGTTACAAAAGCTGAAACAATGTTTGCTTGGTATTTCTATTTTCATCAAATTTGTTATTGAAGACAATTAGGTGACTGGAATGAAAACACTGTAAAACCAGAAGAACAACAAATCCCACAATGAAGACAGATGATTATAAATAAATCAAAGTATGCGGGCCCAGGATTAATTCAGGATGCAATACAAAAGAATATACTCAGGGGAATTACTTACTGAAATTTTCCACCAGGTCAAGGGCAACGTGGGTAGCAATATCCATTCCAGTATTTATGTAAGACTGACAGTTTCTCAGAGATGAGAGAGAGGAATTCACAGAGCTGAATGAGATTCTTGTACCCCTCTGCATCTTGGACTTGTTACTCTAGAAATAAGAGACAAAACATTTTGAATACAGTTTACACCCAAAGAATTTGTGAGAGAAAACCAAATTGCAGATAGCTAACCATTAAGCACTGTTAAAAGGACCACTGAAACACCAGAGAGCAGGGATGAATCACAGAATGGCCTGGCTTGAAAAGGACCACAGTGGCCATCTAGTTTCAACCCCCTTGCTCTGTGCAGGGTCGCCAACCAGCAGACCAGGCTGCCCAGAGCCACATCCAGCCTGGCCTTAAATGCCTCCAGGGATGGGGCATCCACAGCCTGCTTGGGCAACCTGTTCCAGTGCCTCACCACCCTCTGTGTGAAAAACTTCCTCCTAATATCTAACCTCAACCTCTCCTGTCTCAGTTTAAAACCATTCCCCTTGTCCTAAGTGTAAGTGGTACTTCAATTCACCAGAAGTTTTTTATTTCCTTCTTATTCAATGTTAAGTTCAGCTACACCACAAAAAGCAACTTGCAGTTGTCAGCTGCTTATTTCTATACCTCAAAACCTCATAGATGATGTTAGCTTGAAAGTTACTGCTCAATTTCAGATCCAAAAAAAGTCCATGTGCCCAAAAGTTTGCCTGTATTCTAGACACATTATCAGCTAGGCTAACAAGAACTGTGACTTCTCACATCAAATTCAGCCTCTCCAACTACAAGCTTGTTACAACAGCTATTGCTTGGAAAAAATAAAAAAAAGGGCACCTGCTCTACCAATGTGTTTAACAATAAATCATCTTGCCTAATTCTGAAATAAAGCCCACCTAACTAGTGGTGCCTCTTTCCCCAAAGTTGTCACGAACTTTGTTGTTAGAACCAATGTTCCACTGGCACAGCGCTGGGTCACAGAAGAATCATGTTTGTCTTTTTACCACTGTCCTCTCTGGTACAGACCCATAACCTGAGATTAACTGCTTTTCCTCTGCTGTGAGCAAAACTTTCAAGTGGGTTTCCTTACACTATCCTTGTCTGCAATGTTCACATCAGCTGGTGGTTTCATCCCAAACATTTCAGCTTCTGCTCTTTCTTCTCTGTGCTTTACCATACTTGCTTGGATAATATGTAGGTTTTCTAAGAAACAAGGATTTTGTGTATAGTTTTATACTTTATGTTCCAGGAGATAAGAAATTCTGCTAAGCTTCAAACACTGAATTATTTATAAAAGAAAGTCTTGTACAGACAGAAATACTCCATTAGTTTATATAAATAATAACTAGGATTTTCAACAATTACTCTGAGATCATATTGGGGAGTAGGGAGAGAAAAGAATCCATAACAAAAATTGATTTATAGTAGAAATTTTATCAAAATGGTACACAAAATGACAAGAGGATGAGCTGCTGTATAAACAATAGCCTTTGAAAGGCCAAAATCCAACAGAAATATGCAAAATGTCAAAATAGAAAGGACAAAGCTTTGCCCAAGCTTTTTATACTTGCATCTCCCTCTACTACTTACTCTGAGATTCCATAACTAACTCTTGCACTCATCCTAACGTGAACAACATTGCCATCTTCCTCATGATCATGCAGATTATAAGACCTGAACACCCGCTGTCACTTTGTCTTCTCTTCCAATGTTTTCTTCCGCATCTTTTTCTTTTTTTCTGCTTCAAAAATGTGCTTGGCTACTCAAGACTATCATTTATGACCCTGTTTTTAGGTCATGGGTATACAATAACTTTTAATTAATACTGATAGATCACATTCAGCACACCTTGAACTTTACATTACATATGACTGATTTCCCCTCTCTCCTTTCTAAACAAGCATCTTGCCAGACAGGAGGCAGAAGGCTTCAACACTTGCTCCAGCTGGCTCAGCTCATGCTCTCCCTGTCAAAAGACAGCAATTGTTGTCTTCAGAGATCTTTAGAGACTGTCAAATTGACAGCAGGTGACATGCAAAAAGTCCCTTACAGACCTCTTTGAAAGTTAAATCAGAAATGCTCTTAATATTTAATAATGAATGCTTTAAGCTGTTACGGTTAACTTTTTTTTTTTAAGTAGTTGTTTGCCATCATATTGAAACTGTTTGTAAAAACCCCTATGATCCAAACTTTATACGCGGTTAAATAGCCCCACAAAATCATGTTAGCAGCTTTATCCTTCTGGGCACATTTAGTGCATCAGAGCTAATGGCAAGAATCAAATTCACTTCCCAAACATGGTAAATCTCACTAATTGAGCGAACTTGCTGTTCGCTTGGGAAATTTCACAGGTTAGCCCTGAAATACAAGAATCTGAAAAAAAAAGAAGAAAAAAAAAAACCAAACAAACAAACAAAAAAACAACAAAGAAGTGAAAAATTAAACAGGCCTCTACATTCTCTTCATATTTATGGAAGCACTGACCAAACTATATGGGAACTGCAGCTGTCATTCACATTGCTAGATATACCACTGCGTAGACGTCTCAAATCGACTTTTGGAAGGCAATTTAAGTACACTCAGACAACTCTGTTGTTGCTGTTTACACCTCACTTCTGGAAAGTATAATGAGGCAAACTTATCTGAAAAAGAGACCAAGTGAGAGTAGAAAGGCAGTTGGTTTTTTTTTGACAGAAAAAAAAAAACATCCAATAGTCATAGAGTCACAGAATCATAGAATGGCTTGGGAAGGAAGAGACCCTAAGGATCATCAAGTTCCAACCCCCTGCCACAGGCAGGGCAACCAACCTCCATCTTCCATATCTGGCACTAGATCAGGCTGCTGAGGGCCCGACCCAACCTGGTCTTGAAGACCTCCAGGGCTGGAGCATCCACAGCCTCTCTGAGCAGCCTGTGCCAACACCTCACCACTCCTACTGCAAACACCTCCTCTGACATCCAATCTAAACCTTCCTTCCTTGAGCTTAAAACCGTTCCCCCTCGTCCTATCTCTGTCTACCAGAGTAAGAAGTTGATTCCCCTCCTGTTTAATCACCTTTTAAATACAGGAAGGCTGTAACGAGGTCTCCTTGCAGCCTTCTGTTCTCCAGGCTGAACAAGCCCAGCTCCCTCAGCCTGTCTTCACAGGGTAGGTATAGTCCAGATTGGATTGCTAAGCAGAAACCTGAAGTTACACCTCATACTCTGTGACTTGACACGTGAGCAAATGACCCAATTTCCCTGCGTTTCAACCTCCAAAACCAGCAGCAGAGACGAAGGCGAATATCCCAGGTGCTTTTCAACAGTGCCCACTGACAGGGCACGGGGCAACAGGCACAAACTGGAACACAGAGAGTTTCATAGAACACACACGCACAAAAACTCTGTTACTGTGAGGGTGACAGAGCACTGGCGCGGGCTGCCCAGAGGGGTTGTAGAATCTCTTTTTGTGGACACACTGAAAACCCATCAGGAGGTTTCGTTGTGCAAGCTACTGTATGAGCTTGCTTTAGCAGGGGGTTGGACCGGATGGTCTCCAGAGCTCCCTTCCAACCGTACGACCCCGTGAGCGCCGACCTCCGGCAGCAGCGCTGCCCCGGACGCACGGCTGACCGCGTACCACAGGGTGCCTCACACAGCGCCCGAGAGAAGCGGCAGCCAGCCCCGCTTCCCAGCCCTTCCCTTCACCCCCCCGTCCCCAAACCGGGCGGCCAGGCCCCCCGCGCCGCCCCGGCAGCTCACCTCGTCCCCGCCGCCGAGGCCCGACAGAGGCAGCGGGGCGGGGCGACCGGCGGAACCGCCTCATCATCCCGCGCCTTTGCCGACGGCGCCGTCACGTGATGGGGCCGAGCCGTACCGCAGAGCCGTACCGCCGCCTGCGCTCACCTGCTGCCGCCGCCGCTCCCTTCGGGCGGCCCTCCGAGCTCTCCTCGCTGCCTCGCGGCGGGGCGCGGTGAGCAGGCGCGTCGCTGGGGCTCGCGGTTGGGTTGAGGCGGTGAGAGAGAGCCGGGCCTCGGGCGGCGGCGGAGCCCAGGGCCTGGCGGCACGGCTGGGCGTGTGGGGCTGTGGCTCGGAGCGCCCCGCGCTGCGTTCGCAGCGGCGGCCGGCGACGGGGAGCGCGTCGAGCACCGTGCGCGTGCTGGGGAGGAACGCGGTGCTTTTGGTTTTACCAAGCGCTTTAAATGCTGCATTTGCAGTTTATTGGCCTGCTTTGCAGGGACCGGACTCGATGTTCTCTGAAAGTCCTTTCCAGAACCTACAGTTCTGTGGCTCTGTGAAAGATGTAGGTGTGCGCTTAAAAATCTGCGTAGATTCAGAAGTATTGTAGAGTCATTCAGCTTGGAAAAGACTGCTGAGAACATTTAATCCCATCGCTGACCCTTCACACGCCCCCTAGGCAGTGTCCCTCGGGAGTTGAATGTGCCTGGTTCTGTTTCTGCAGGTGCTGTTGATGGAGCAGCCCGTTTTCTCATTAGGATTTCTTCATCAAACGACCTAAAAGCGGGTGGTCAGAAACAGGCAGCAGGACTTGTGCTGCGTGTTCACATCCAGCTCCACGATGGTGGATTTTCTTGCTGAAAATAACCTCTGTGGTCAGGCAATTCTTCGGATTGTCTCCTGTGGAAATGCTATCATTGCAGAGCTCTTAAGACTTTCCGAATTTATCCCTGGGGTTTTCAGGCTGAAGGACAAGGCTGATCAACAGAAGTATGGAGATATCATCTTTGATTTCAGTTACTTTAAGGTAAACCCCTTTCTTCTGTTGTTAGACTTCTCTGTAAAGCATTGTTGTCCTGAACGTAAGGCTTACCAAACCGATTCCTGACTATTGTGTTTATTACTAACGTGCTTCAGAAGTGACTGCAGTGACTTGTTATTGCTACAGTTCCTCTGTACTCAGCACTGGTGAGGCCTCACCTCGAGTACTGTGCTCAGTCCCTGCAGAAAAGACATTGAGGTCCTGGACTGCATCCAGAGAAGGACAGTGAAGCTATGAAGGGTCTGGAGCACAAATCTAGTAGAGAGCAGTGGGGGGAACTGAGTTTCTTCAATCGTAGAAGAGGAGGATTAGGAGAGACCTTATTGTTCTCTAAAGGTGCCTGAAAGGAGACTGGTGAGGTGGGAGTCATCCTCCCAGGTAACAGTAATAGACTGAGTGGTTTTTGATAGGCTGATGTTGCACCAATGAAGGTTTGAGTTGAGTACTAGGAGAGAATTTATCCCAGAAAGAATGGTCAGGTATTGTACAGGGCAGTAGGGGGATTGCTGTCCCTCGAGGTTTTGAAGAACAGGGTAGATGTGGTACCTAGAGACGTGGTTTAGTGGGTGCAGTGGTGATGGGTTGATGGTTGAAGTAGATAACCTTTGTGGTCTTATCTAACCTTACTGCTTCTGTGACTTGCTGTTTGCTTTATGCTTACCAAAAATTTACCAAACTGAGATAGTAACTGGGATATGCTTGCATACAAACACAAAAACAGTTTTGGACCGTCCTGCATTTTGTATAGTTTTGATCATACTTAGCCTCATCTTACTCAATTTCAGTGAGCAGAAGGAGACTGGTACGTGCTCTGTTCACAGGCACCTGGGCAGAATAGAAGTAATAACCAGTACCCATGCTGCATAGAGTTTTAGTACTAGAAGGGAATTTTATGTTTGTATGTAGAAGAACAGTCTTTCAGAATGTATGATGAGTCATCTGGCCTGTGAGTTTTGGCAAACACTGGTCATATAAGACTTGAGTTGTGGGTTTTCTTCTTGGGTGTTATTCCTGCAGTAACTTCAAATGTTGCTTTCACTACCAGGTTCTGAGCCTGTGCAGTGGGTTGGGTTTCTGGAACAGTACTGTGGGCAGTATGCCCATGTTCCTTTGGTTATCTGTAGCTTGTTCTCTGCAGCTGTGAAGGCTGCTTCGTGCTTTCCTGTTGGACAGTACTGTGATTGTTCGCTCGCTGAAATTGTCATGTGTGCTGAATCAACAAATGAAGAGTAGTGAGCATGCAAAGTCCTTGTTTTCCTTACATCTTGCAAAAAGCTTAATCCCTCTATCATTCTCCGGTATGATTTAGAAGGAGCTGCAGATGCAGTGTAGTTTGATTTTAGCCGGTTTGTACATTTGAAATTCATATTAGTAGTACAGCAGTATTGGGGAGGAGGAGAACTGATAGGAGCTGAAACTTTGGGCACTGGCTGGGAGCCTCAGATGCTGGAAACTTGAAGCACAAATGATTTCACAGATACCTTTAGATGTGTTTGTTAGATTTTTTTTTTCTTAATTATTTTTATTTACACAAATTACTCGGAAACTGAAAAGCAGATAGGTATGATTGGTAAGAAATACAACTATTGTGGAAACCAGAAGATTTTTGAATGTTAAGGAAGCAAAGCAGCACTGCTGCTTTTCAAAGTGATTGCACTATGGCTTCAGATACATCAGTTTTACCCAAAGTGTTAATCGTCTTTTTCCATTGTCTGCATAGAAGAAATCATATCTAAATTGATTGTGTTTAAAAAAAAAAAGTGTAAAATTCCTCATGGAATACGTTTTCAATCATGAAGCAGTTTGTAAAACTGCAAGTTCTTGTTTTAATAGGAAAGGTTAGTTTTCTTGTAACTGTCATTCTGGTAGTTGTGTATTTTGTGTCCTAGTGAAGAGCATTATGGGCACAGTCAAACGTTGTCTCTAAATGTAATTGTCTTTTTTGTAGGGGCCTGAGGCATGTGAAGGCAAACTGGAAGCAAAACCAGAGCTACTGGATTTAGATGAAGAATTTCGTGAAAACAACATTGAAATTTTGACAAGATTTTATCTAGCTTTTCAGAGTGTACATAAATACATCGT